TTTCGACTCGTTGGTTTGCGGGTAGGAAGCGGTGGTGATGTTTTTGATCAGACCTAGGCTGCAGATCGCTCCGATCGGCTTGCCATCGACGTTCCCCCTCGCGTCCCCCTCCACGTCCGCGTCTTCCTTAGTGTCCTCGATCTTTCTATCGCACTTGTCCGGTTCCAGCCTCTCCTGCAGCCTGGAGACCGCCTCCTGGTCCGTTACAGCGTTCGCGGAAGCGTTCCCGGTGAAAAACGGCTTGCCCCTGGATTCCGACGACTTCTCGTTGCGAGCGTCCGCCTGCTCATCACCTGGCTTCTGCCCGTTCTGCGTGTACCCGGGCAGGTAGCTCTTGTTCGCTGTTGGTTTATCGCTGAAGCTAAATTGCATCGTTACACCGGTCTTCGCGATGTTCTCCAATGCCGTCTTCGAGATAGTCTTTGGCGCGTCGACCACTTCCTCGGCGTCCTCGTCGCTAAACACGGTGTCCTCTATCAGCACTTTTGGTTCATCCTGTTTTTCTTTCTCGGTTGGACTGTGTATCCTCTCCGGAATCTGTTGTCTCGGGTGATCTGCGCTGCAGTTCAACAACGCGTCCTCCTGCGGTCGCGGGACCTTCATGGTTTCCGATGCGGACATCTGTCTCAGCAGCTCCCTGCTGGGACTTGGCGGTAGCTTTTGAATCGGACTGGACGTCTGTTTAGGCGTGTCCTTTATCGGCGAGGATGGACTGAGGAGGAGTGGTGAACTTTGCCTGAATATGTCCTTCATGGGAGAGGAAGGACTCTGCAACCTTGGCGACGCGATTCTGGGAGATAGGACGGGCGTCACGGGCGGGGACTTGACGCTTATTTCCAAGGAGGATTTTAGTTTGTTCTGTTGGGGCTCCGGACTAGGTGCAGGCGAGAACTTTAACTTGAAAGACGGCTCGGGCGATGGGGACGGGGAATGCGACTTCTCAATCTGCTGGAACTTGCTGACCACGGAAGACACCGACTGCACGATGGGCTCCGTGATCACGCCGTCGATGTGGTACTCCTCCTGACCCTTCTGGGTTTCGATCAGCTCAGCAGTGGGCTTCTGAGGCAGAACTATCTTTTTCGGCGAGCCGGGCATCGGCCTCGAGTTACCGTTCACGAAAGGTTTCGGTTGCACCGGTGGTTTCGCTACGACCTTCTTCTGCGATTGCGCTTTGAAGGTGTCGTTGATTGTTTTAAAAGTAGCCACCTTCGCCGCGACCTCGCCTTTAGGTCTCAGCTTCTTCGCGGACCCTTCGAAGATCCTCATAGTAGTCTTGACTAGATCCGGCGGTGGTCTTTCCGTCTCCGCCAGGAGCGGCTTGATCCTCTTCGGCTTGTTGACTGCTTTGGGCCTGTCCAACTCGGTCAGCCGACTCTCGATCTTCACGGTGGACCTATCTATCAGAATAATATGATCGTTGACGGGATCCGGCTTCAAACCGTTCGTCTGTCCCACCCGGCCATGGCTATTATTTATGTCCTCAGTTCCATTATACCTCATCAGCGTCTCCACGCTTCTAGCCCGTTTCATCGATTCATTACCGCGCGACGCATTCCTATATCTCTCGGTTTTCGCATTGGTCCCGGCCGCGTTCGTCCTCTTCGCGTACTTTCTCACGGTCTTCTCGCCAGGCTCGTCGTCGCAGTCGAGCAGATCCTCGAGGCTGGCTGCTCGCCGGAACCGTTGCACCGTCACCCGGGTCTTGTTCATCTCCCTGAGAGCAAGATTTAGGTATTTGCTCTTCAACTTGTTCACGATACCTGGCCCATACTGCAGCTCCTCTGAGCTGTCGCTCTCCCCGTCGTCGCTGGCCGCCCGATTTCTCGCCATTTCCGCTTTGGAACGTGACAACTCGGCCAAAACGTCCCTCTCCGATTTGTTGTTGCCACTGGTCCTACAGGTGGATCCTCCGCGGCGTTCCTCGCAGCCGGAGTTGTTCGCTTGCTCACCGGGTAATTTGGCAGCGTCCTCGTTCTCGGACCCGTCACCGTGTTCCGATTTTCGTTCCGTGTCCGTCGACGACTTGCTCAGCGGGCCGTTCGCGACGTCCTCCGAGTCGGAGCAGAGCGACAGATCCGCCTCGAGACGCATGTTGCACGCGACTGCTGCCGCTTGGCTGTTAGCGGCGGTCGTTCCGGTGGCGACGGTGGCGCCACCGGCTGTTCCTCTACATAGAAACGGCGAAGACGATACAACGACACCGGCAGCGGCGCTACCACCGCCGCTGCCAGCAACGCTTGCTACGTTAGCAGACGAGACACTCGGATGACCGTTGACAGCGTTCTCTTCGCCGGTGTTAGCGCGCGATCTCGCCGACGACACGTTGCCGGCTACACACTGCTCTTGACTGTACAACAACGGGTCAGCGGCGGGTTCCGGCGTCGCGGACGAGCCGATCACAGCTGAACATAACTTCACGCTCGCACCGTTGCTCGCGAGAACCTTGTTCTGCTGTCTGCGCCGTTGTATCAAGTCCCTTTTCCACTGTGGCACGGCGACATTGTTGCCGCTCGATTCACCGGCGCTGCCCGTCGTCGCGTTGCTCGCGGTAGCCATGTTGGACGCGCGATGGGCGCGTTCGCAAACGCGCGGCCGATTCTCCACGAACAACTCTCTCACTCTGTCTTTCTCTCTCCGTCCCCCTCTCTTAGCGATTCTCTCGCTCGCTTTCCGACTCCCTTCGTCTTTTCTCTTTCTCTGTCCCTCTACCTGTCTGGCAGCCTATGAATTCGCTACTGGCAACGTTTATCTTTCCCTTAGAGACGACGCACGGGCATCGCGCTCGATCACGAGAGAACACCTCCCGTGGACACTATGGACGTGAACGGCGGCCGCCGACCGATCGTCGATAAGACGATGCCTGCGACACATGTATATACATACGCGACAACACGCGTTTCCGGCTGGCCGTTGACAACGAGCACACGCGTGTTATTATTCCATTCTTCTCGCCGGGGACAGTCCTGTCCGTTGAGCCGTGGCTACTGGGTGGCTCGGTGAACACTCCGACGGAGAGAGATCGCCGGTTTCGGTCCGCGGATCGATAAGCCTCTCTCGTCGCTCGGAGGAGACTGGTCAAACGAGACCTGTGCGTACGATCGAAAAAGTGAATCGAGGATGGCACCTGTTCCGCCGAGTGATGCACACGCATTCGCACATACACACCGTTTACAAGCACTGAACTGACAGGACTCTCCGGGTAAACTACGTTGGACTACCCGGCTACTATTTCACTCCATGGTTAGGCAGATCGTCGTCCGTACGCTTCCTAGGGCCGAGAGCCGTCCTGTCGTCCCCTGGCCGGCGAACCGAACGGCGGACCCCGTCGGTCGCTGGAAATCGAAAGTACCTACCAGTGTGCACGCACTCACGCACGCACCCGCCACACGCACCCACACAAATCGGCGACGAAAGGCGAGCGCACGACGGGGCCGTCCTCGCTCGTTCACTCGCACTCCGCTCCTGCCCCTGCCTAACAGCCTGCCTGCCTGCCTGCTGCCTGTCTGCTCGACAGAGATATCGCCTCTCTCCCTACCGGCTTGGATCCGCTCCGCTCGACTTCTATGCACCAGCCTCAGGGCTGTGCCTTTCGTCAGGCATTTCAGGTGTTGTGTCGAGGATCTACGAAAATTGTTGAGCTTTTTAAACGATTCTGGGATTAATAGAAATAGGAACGACTGAATTAGACACAGAGGAAATGGGTTGGCAGGATTTTTTAGCGCTATGATGTAGCGGGTGAAAGAGTAGGGGCATGTTGGGTTGGATGCGAAAGTGCCCGGGGTATAAGGACATCGCGGCACAGTACTGACCAGCCCCCTCACGTTTCACGCACACCATGACCAGTCGCTGATTCTCCACTCTCCTCCCTTCTCTTCTCTATGCTACTGCTCCCTTCTCTTTTAACCAACAGCCCCGTCCTTCGTCTAGCCCCCTAGCCTTTTCCTTCGCGACTACTCTCGCTCCACCACCCCAACATGACGTCACGCTCTCGACCGACATCGCTCCTATCGAATGACGCGACATCCTATCGAAATCGCTCGTTCGGGGTTACGGGGGTATATCGCGACTAGGGCCTCGATTCCCCTCAGGCGGGAAATACGAAACACGAAGGGTGCCACCTTTTATCCTTACTCCCTTATAGGAGGGTATGTGGCTCCGTCTGTGATTACCTTTTGCGTTTTTTCATTTATCCGTTGGAATTTGTTTCTATTGTGGTATCCTTGTAGTGTAAATTGGATTATAATGTACGCGTACAACTGGGTAAATGACTTCAACACTTTTTTTGCTTCAATCGTGTCGGTACGATCGCTTGTGGCCAAAAAAATTAGCAGGTTAACGAGCTGAACGATTGGTCGAAGCAGAAAACAGCTTTCGCCGCAAAAACGCTCCGATCTTTCATCGAATCGAACACAATTGTCGCGTCCTTGTACGCTTAATGGCCCACGCGGACTGGGCAAACAAAAAAACGTAACACGTGTCGACCATGCTTTTGAGCGAAAGGGGGAAGCGCATCCGGTGGACGATAATAACGAGTATACGGGAAAAACAGGACGGATCCGAGAATCATAACGAACGATGACCCAAAACGAGGAATCCCGAGCGCTCGAAGCATTTCCCCGTGGTCCGTGACGATCGGAATCACGCTCGGAACGTTTATTCTTCGCGTGCTTTACAAGAAATCGCACTGTATAGGCGTTATTATTTTATCGCGTAGTGCGAGACGACGCGCTGCCCCAGTAGACATACGAAATAGTTGGCTTCCGGTGTCGACGTCGCTGTCGGAGCGTGCGAATATTCGAGGCAACTTTGACACTGAGTAGAACAAAAGAATAGCGTGTGGCCGATCGCAACAATTCATTGCCAGCATCGCCGTTTCGTTAAACGCATTATCAGAGTAAATATTTAATTGACTATCTGGAGCAGATAAGATCCTCGCTGAGAAACAATCAAAACGATTATGGCCCGAGACTTCGAATACTGCGCCTTTCCCGTCTTCTTGAAGGGAAAGTAAATCATCGAGCAGTCTCCGTATTGAGATCAATGCCTTTTCGAGATCGCGTAACGCTAACATCGATGCCGGATCGTTCGCCAGTATATCGACCACAGTCCTCGTATCAGTGAACGATCTATGACCGTTGATAATTACCGTGAAACACGGTGAAAGGATTGATTCTATGCAATTCCGAGTCTTCGCGGGTTCGACGCCACTGAATTGTAATCGCGCTCGCGAGTCCGCGTAAAGAAGCACACATTGTACATCAGCGCGCGCATACCTACGCGATTCAACAAATTGCGAGCCTTAAATTGGCTACGAATTATGACGCGAGCCATATTTCACGCTACGAGCATAAAGGAAGTAACTCGTGTAACGAGCAGTTTATTAACGCGAAAAACACGCGGCCGGGCCGACGTAAAGTCAGTCGAATCACAGAAATGCCTACGAATCGTTAAATGGAACCGCACGCGACTTATGCAACTAGTCTGGCATGATCTAACAAGCAATGCAATATACTCGTGTTATCGACAAATCTGGAATGGCCACCTTAAACATTTTTCACGTCCCGTAAGACCCGACTCGAAATCGCCTGAAAGTGGTCCGCCGGTTGCGCAATGCCGGTTCATTATCCTCGACATTAACATAAATCGTGATCCGATGCGCGCTCGACATTGTCAATTACCCGGGATGCACGCCAGTCGCGAACTGTACCGTGGAAACGATTACGTCTCTATTATCTGGCGCATAGGGGACGGAATTTATCATCGCGGACGAGAGATACATTCAGGCAACGATTCGGGGAGACGTTTCTTATCGTGTTCATGTTTATCGAAGGTAGGAAGCTGACAGTTGATGTTTGTGTATGAGCAGGAATGCGCGGTGCGCTGTATTTTCTCCTGTCGTGGTGTTAAAGTCTTGTTCAACAAGGTCATTGCTGTGGTAGTCATCCATGATATATAGTAAATTATTATATATAATAATAATCGATTGTTCCAATTTAACATTGCCGTTTCATTTAAGAACGCGTTGTCTTTTAGTTTCTTCAATTTCCTTTTCTCTTATTTTGTTTATAGTAAGTTATAGAAGATAAAAAGTCATTGCCATTAAATCATTATTTATCGTTTCAAACGTTTCCTATGTTTTTCGAAAGTTTAGATTTGAGAAGGTTTCTACAAACTCGTGGAAATGCGTTTATCAAGCTCCGATTCGCGTTAAGTCTCGTTCGTGACCGCGACGCGGTCCAGACTTGTCCGTTCGTTCGTGTCCGTCAGGTGTGAACCTGGCTTAACGTATCTTTAGTGTCCATGAGGCACACGAGGTTAATATGGCCGCCAGTTCTCGACGCGTACGGAACCAGTTCCAGGATGAAACCGGTTTGGAACTAGTTTCCATTGGTTTTTCGGCCCCCTGCGAGACCGTGCCGCGACCGAGATTGGCACTCGTGCCGGACTTCTCTCGGAGATTGGAACGGAGGTTACGTTACGAGGGCACGCTAACATGGCCGATCATACAGAGCAGAAAGGTAAGGGGAACTGTTCTTAAACGGTCCGTGGCTGTATCGCGTTTCGTGCTCCATGCAACGTTCGTTAACGCTTCGATCAACGAGGCTGGAACTCGAATCGTCGTCGCACCGAAAGCCGCACGGATGTTAGAACCGCTTTATGCGCCTGTACTCGGCGTACCCGTTGTTTTGCGCGGGAAAATCAAATACTCCTTGTGCCGTTTCTTGGCCAAATGTAATCTACACCATCGTATCACTAAAAAAGCAAGGCAAAAAAAGAGAACGTTCCTTGCATTTTTACGTAATTCTGTTTAAAACTGAATGATAATATAATAAAGTTAGAGGACTAGTATCGAATCGTTTTAACGCAAGTATTGTTTGAAAGGAGACAACGTCGACGGTCAAATGGAGATCAAAGTGGAACCCACGCTTCAGTGTTACGTGGAAGAGGAACACGAAAACGGATTTCCCGGTTTTGAAAACAATGGAGCTATACCGTCGAGCGCAGATGTTGGTGCATTGAATTTGTGGACCAGCAAGGCGACCACTTGCCTGATCAGTCAATATAAAAAGTACCGATCAATGGTCGGCCAATCGACGCAGATCAGGAGCCTGCGGGAGATGTTCGAGATGATCTCATTGGAGATGCAGAATTACGGATTTTACTTCAGCCCCCAAAAGTGCGAGAACAAGTGGCGGGTGCTGGAACGTAAGTACAAAAACCTGGTGTTCCGGGAACGATTGAAGAAGCCTGGTAGGATGAGACACTACGGCCACTGGGAGCACAAACGAGCGTTGGACGAAATCTTCAATGAAAAAAGGAGGCACATGTATCTAGAAGAAAGCGAATTTCCTTCACCAGCTGGCGGATCAGCGAAGTACACGTTCATTCTGCCGAAACCGACCGGCGAAGATCAGACTAACACAGTTGAACAGCAAAAGCAAGACGATCCTCTAGCAGCACCTACGTCTAACACCCTAGCGAATAACAAGGGAGAACAGACGGATCCAAACGGGCCGCTGACGGCACTTTTCGACAGGTTTCTGGAGGAGATAGCGAAAAATTTTGCGATCGCCGAGAAGAACAAGGAGAAGAGGCACAAAGAGGAGATGGCGATGCGGCAGAGTGAGCTAGAGGTGCAGAAGAGCCTCTTGAAGCTGAAGGAACAAAAACTGGAGCTGCAGAAGTGTCAGATCATTGCAGCTGCTCAGCACTTGCATTTAAACATGTGAGTGGGCATGTTCTATAAACACTGACACTCGAATGACTCTTACCAAATAGTAATAAGACGGTGACTTTATATAAATACTCGTGACAAAGTGTAACATAATAATATAAACATTTATATAAATTTAATGCTTCTTTTCTGTTTATGTTATAACATCCGATCAGGATAAAGAACAATGTTCCTGTATGTACGTACTCTTCTTGTCGATGTGCGCTACAGAATTCCATTCTGTTTGATCGGCTCTCCAGTTGTTAGTTACGGGTTCCAACGTTCAGGTGGTAGCACTCTCCACCTTTCCAGCTCCATGGCTCACGCCGCCGTGAATCACCGACGCGCGAGAGTCCTGTTTTTTCGACCGTTGAGCTAAGAAACAAGAAAAGTTTTTGATGAGAGCGTACTGTAAAATAAACAGTGACAGATGAAACTGGAAGATAAAATGAAGGACAAAGATCGTAGGCGTTAAAATCCTGAACGAATACGATTCACAGGGTCTAAGGATACATTGGCTCCAGCAGAAATCCATTATACAAAGTGGTGTACTGCGCGTGTTACACGTGCACTCGGTGCATCGTGTTACCCGCGCAAAAACACGGCGGATTCTGGTTTTATTGTTAAAAGTTGCACGGCGATCGTAGCCGCGCAACGTCCGGGGGATTACTTTCGCTATGTATTCCGCCTCGTGCTCTTAATGACTCAATTTATTAAGCGGCGATTCAAAAGATCGCCCTCCCCCGGGCTTCGTCGCATTGATATTGCACCTTCAAAAGATCGCGAGACGGCTCGACAGAGATTTATGACCCTTAAACGCAATTTCATTATTCTATCTTATCGGATTAACAGAGATCAAGCCCTTTTTTTTTACTTGTCCCTCCCAGGTTTATTTATGGACCGTTGATGCAGATGCGAATCATAAATTATTATAGGGTTCTCAGCGGATACATAATAGCAGTATAATCGGAGCGAAATTGTTTTACGTGTATCGCAAACTAACGTAAAGGCGCGTCGTTTGTAAGCGATGTCAAATTGTTATTGCTCCCCGGCGAGAGAAATCCGACGGAAAAAGAGGAAGAATTCGAAACGGTAGCCGAGCTGACTCGAGAGTGATAGGCCAGCCGGTGGGGAAAGTTGACTCGGGATTCAATCGACTCGGTGAATCGTATAATCTCGTGTAATTAGCATTCACGGTATAATGCTATTCAATTCGTGATGCGATTAATCGAAACACCGTGAGAAAAAATCCCGCGGAAAGTGAAACCGCCGAGTCCGATGTCTATAGAACGGTTCCCAAGATGACTCCCTTCCGATAATACGCATCCACGATGCGCTCGAAAACAGAATACTGTCGTCTCTTGAAGTAGAACAGATGAAAAGAGAATTTTCCGTGTGATCGTAACAGTTTCCTTTGAACAATGAATTTTGTCGTGACGCTGAAGAAATCTTCTACATAGCAGAGTTTATTATATAACGGTTGCGGATGAAAATTGAATTCGACAGTGTGCCGAGGCAATCGCCAGGCAAGGGACTCTCCGTTCGATTGAGTTTGGTCACGGCGATGTCGAGCTTGGTTCTCGATTCCGTACCAGACTGCCTTGGTGTCACCTTACATTATACAGTGCATGACGATTATACGTTTGGAATTTTAAAAAATTCATTCCTGTTACACGCTGCGCGTATCGGAGAACAGGTAGCCGCAGCTGTAGATCCTTTCGAATGTGTTTCGCGCACTTTAACGAACACTGCGACATCAGGTGAATTTTCCTTTGTTAATTTTCTACGGTCGCTAAAAACGGTTCTTCTAAGCGGTAGCTGAGAAAAAGTAGAGAATATCACGGTGTCCAGCGACGCGTGCACGAGCGCGCGCGCTCGCGTCAAGAAACGACAAAGGGCGAACAATTTTATAAACCGTCGCGAGAGCTTTTCGGGAAAAAATCGGTGAAACCGGTTACACCCGCTCCTTGTTGTATTCGTACGCACCGACGACACGTACGCACCGTATATGATACGCGCACACGGATCACCAGTAAGAGTTAACACGCGAGCACGTGCAGGTACGTGGGTACAAAACTTTTGCGACTTACACTAATAACCCGACATATTTCGAAAAGCGATTCGATAAAATCAGCCCTAACGTCGACGTTTATGCGCATAAACAAAGTTTAAAACTATGTTTAGTCCGACAGGTTGTTGAACTTCGTATAAATAACTCGAATAGGGACTCGCTAGACTTGGCATAACGCGGGTAGCGTAAATTCTTAATAAAAATTGGGAAATCGATAAACTATGTCAGTTGTTGTACCTATTCTCGTAGCATATACCAAAGTATGCCCTTAAAAATGTTCATGGTTCACGGTACACTTTTGCAAACTCGAAATCAGTCCAAACTCTAAATGAGCATGTTTTAAAATAGAATTATAAATGAACTAAATAAATGTTCACTACCAGCTCCGTGTGAAAGATCAATTTTAAACAGCATGTACAAATCCTATCACGAATGGCAAGCCTGATGTTATTTTCAAAAGTATACCCACCGATTAAGAGCGAAACAGATCGCTTGCCGCTTGGTATACGAAGTATACCAAGTTGTCGATATACCCGCGATATAGGGAGCGAGTGGGGCGCCGTTGCGATTGGGTACGGGCGTGAGTACGGCGGGTAATAGCGCGGAGGCGGCCAGTCGTCCAGTCGAGCCGCGACCACCGAGCGGTGAGCGTATCCTTCGTAGTTTCTCGAATCTCACGGCAGCGAAAACAACAAAAACAAACAAACAAACAGAGGAAAAAATAAAAATCCAAAAATCAGCGGTGGAGAGCAACCGAGAACAACCGTCAGTGTGTTCGACGATGAGTTTCCGTTCGCAAGGCGCCGCAAAAGCTGGTTGAACCGTGGAGAACCGAGCCCACCGGATTCGCGTGCACAGAAGTAAACAGAGGGCGAAGGAGGACACGCGAATCGTTGGTGCGTGTCCACGCACGCGTACAGGGCTCCACACGACGCGTCATACGCAATGTGCATACTGGCGGCGGTGTAATTAGATTCGCGTGACCCGTGTACTTTCGTTGCGTGCCAGACATCGTTTCCATGCGTCTGAAATCTCAGGAACAACGATAGACAGTTGGTTGTCAACCGCGGGATCAGTTCGAGAACGACTGAGCCTAGGAACCTAGACTTGGCGACCATCAAAACGTTGACAGTTCCGGAACCGGAGTTAGCCCACGATCTAACCTAACCATTCGAACCTAAAAACCAGACTGTAT